TACGACCGCATGAGCACGAGACCCTTCCTCGAAGACATTGAGAAGAAGTGGCTCGCCTTTCAGCTGCTCTGCGCCCTGCGTGACTGCCACGCGCGGGACATCTACCATGGCGACATCAAGTCCGAGAATACCCTCGTGACGTCTTGGAACTGGCTGTACCTGACCGACTTTTCCTCGCCCATCAAACCAATACTGCTTCCCGATGACAACCCCGGCGATTTCTCGTACTACTTTGACTCGTCTGGACGGCGGACCTGTTACTTGGCGCCCGAGCGATTCGTTGCGCCGGATGACGTGGGCACGAAGGAGGCCAAGCTCACCTGGGCCATGGATGTCTTCAGCGCCGGCTGTGTCATCGCCGAAGTCTTCCTCGAAGCGCCCATCTTCACCCTGAGTCAAATCTACAAGTTCCGCAGGGGCGAGTATGACCCGGTCATCTCGCAGATAAGCCGCATACCGGACAGGGACGTTCGGGACATGATATCGAGCATGGTGCAGCTTGATCCCGAGAGACGATACTCGGCGGAGCAATATCTCGACTTTTGGAAGGGCAAGGTCTTCCCAGAGTATTTCTACAACTTTCTTCACCAGTACATGGAGCTGGTCACGGACCCTTCCTCGGGCAACAGCCCGATCTCTGGCGCGTCCAGAAACCTTGGCGAGGCCGATGACAGGATAGACCGCATTTTCCTCGACTTTGATAAGATTTCCTATTTCCTCGGCTATCAACCTGGCAAGCGCGACACCCAGGTTGTACCCCTGGCGAGCAAGCTCGGCCTTGGGCATTTCCCAGTTCGACTCAACATTCCGAACCACGAGCAGTACGTGACGGGCAATCCGGATGGTCCCAAAAATGACGGTACCCTTATCTTCTTGAATCTCGTCGTGTCGAGCATCAGGCATACGGCTCGCGCGGCTTCCAGGGTCCGGGCTTGCGACATCCTGCTTGCCTTTGCTGAGCGAATACCCGACTTGGCCAAGTTGGACCGGGTGCTGCCTTACTTGGTGCTGTTGCTCGGCGACAAGTCGGACATTGTTGTCATCGCGGCGACTCGGTCGATCACGCAGCTCCTGCAGCTTGTGACAGCCATTTCCCCTGTCAACGCGTATGTGTTCATCGAGTACATCCTTCCGCGCTTTCAGACTTCGCTCCTCGGCCCCTCCCCACCCGTGAGCCCACTCGTGCGAGCAACGTATGCCTCGTGCCTGGGAGGCCTCGCGTCGACTGCGTTGCGCTTCCTCGAGATGGCGGCGACCTTGAAAGCCAACGGTGCTCTGACTGTGGCCGATCCCGAGGTGGAACCAGGCAAAGAAGCAGAGGTATTGGCTGATAATCTCTTCGATGATGCTCAGCGCGAACTCTTCTCCATGTTCGAAGCACATACGAAAACACTCATCGAAGATACGGATGTCTCGGTCCGGCGTGCCTTTTTGACATCGGTTCCGGAGCTGTGCATCTTCTTCGGCCCGGCTGAGGCCAACGACATCCTGCTCACCCACCTCAACACATACCTCAACGACCGGGACTGGAAGTTGAAGTGCGCCTTCTTCGATGCCATAGTGGGGATCTCGGCGCTTGTCGGCAGCGTCAGCCTCGAGGAGTTTATGCTGCCCCTCATGGTGCAGGCGCTGACCGACCCCGAGGAGTTTGTCGTGCAGTCGACTCTCCACTGCCTGGCGCAGCTGGCTAATCTGGGGCTCTTGTCCCGGGCCCGGTTGTGGGAGTTGATCGACATCATTGGCAGATTTACAATGCATCCCAACCAGTGGATTCGCGAGTCGGCGTCAGAGTTCCTCTCGCAGGCCGCCAAGTCGCTGTCGCCGGCAGATATCATCGGTATCGTGCTGCCGCTCATCCAGCCGTATCTGAAGACAGACAGGATACCGGCATTCGGCGAGCTCGAGCTATTGGACACCTTGAAGCGACCGCTATCCCGAGCTGCGTTCGACCAGGCTTTGAGCTGGGCGCAGAAGACCAAGAAGAGCAAGTTCTGGACGCCGTCACAGGAGCTTCGTCCCTCAGTATCCAGCTCGTTGCCCACCGGCCTTGCGACCAAGTCGTCCAAGGACCTGCACGTCAATACACTCAGGCAGTCAGCGAGGACGACGGAAGATGACCAGTGGCTGGCGAGGCTGAAGAACCTTGGCTTGGGCCACGAAGATGAGTTCAAGCTTGTAGCGTTACGAGACTTTATCTGGCGGCTCAGCCTCACAAAGACCGGCATTGAGAGTCCTGGCGAGCCTACCACGACTAACGAAGTGGTGTCCCTCCAGAGCCTCGGCATCACCCGTCAGACGGTCTTCTTCGACCAAGAGCTACCTCAGCAGCTGCCAGATACCCCTGAGCCGGTCAAGCAAGGGCCCTACACTATCGCGGACGCACTGCTCGATGCGTCCATGACGATCAACGACTCGGCGAGCAAGAGACGGCTGGCTACCTTGAACAGCTTGAGGACACGCGTGGTTGAAGGGCCTCCCTCTCGTGACGTTTCGCGCACGCGACCGATTGACACGAAGAAGAGGGCAGGGACGGGTCAAGGTAGTAGCCTTTTGACCGTCGGCAGCCCCGTTGATGACGATTCTTCCGTTAAGGATCAGCCTTATGCGTCACGGAGAGCCATGCGACACCAAGCAAGCGCGTTGAGTCTTCTGGGACGCAAGGAGAGTAACAAGAGCGTGCCCGAGACGAGCATGACGGAGACGAATGCTTTTGGAGAGGTCGAAGGGCCCTTTTCACAGGATACCGGCGCCCGCCCCGGTGTTGGGGACCGTCAACCGAGTGCAGCGACTCTCAGCGGAAATGTGAAGGCCAACCACTCATACGAGGGCAACGACCCCAGTATATTGAAGATGCTCGATGCCATGTACGTCAATGTGTTCCCGCATGACATTGTCGAGTTCGGACCACTCGTCACGCCCGTCAGCCGCCGCGAGGTTGTCAACAAGACGACAGGACCCGGGGGCGATGAGCCATGGAGACCTACCGGACGGCTTGTGGCGACATTTGGGGAGCATGCGGGCGCCATCAACCGTCTCATCGCGTCGCCAGACCACGTCTTCTTCCTCACCGGCGGAGACGATGGCACCGTTCGGGTCTGGGATACGGCAAGGCTGGAGAAGAACATTACCAACCGCTCGAGGCAGGTTCACAAGCACGCGCCTGACGCGCACGTGCTCGCACTGTGTTTCGTGGAGAATACGCATACCTTTATCAGCTGCGCCAGCGACGGCAGCGTCCACGTCGTCAAGGTTGAGACAGTGGGCGCCGCCGGGGTTCTGCGATACCTCAAGCTGCGCCTGTTGCGCGAGTACCAGCTGACGCAGGGCGAGCATGCCGTGTGGTGTGAGCACTTCAAGATGGACGCCAGCTCAGTGTTGATGCTGGCGACGAACAGATCGAGGATCCTGGCCATTGACCTGCGGACCATGTCGCTGCTGTATGTGCTGGAGAACCCGGTTCATCACGGCACACCGACGTGCTTCTGCATCGACCGCAAGCGTAACTGGCTCTGCGTCGGTACGTCACACGGCGTCCTAGACTTGTGGGATCTGCGCTTCAAGATGCGTCTCAAGGGCTGGGGCGTGCCGGGCAAGAGCGCCATCCACCGCGTCTGCGTGCATCCTAGTAAGGGCCGGGGCAAGTGGGTCTGCGTTGCGGGCGGTACGGGCCAGGGCGAGGTCACGGTGTGGGACCTTGAGCGAACGACATGTCGCGAGATTTACCGGGTCGGCGGCGGCAGTAAGGAGGCGCTGAGGGGCTACGAGCCGTGGCAGGTCGACGAGGATAGGGCCGAGGGCATGCTGGGCCGATATGCGACCAACATTGAGCCGAGCGGCGGCGGCGGCGGCAGCCACGGCACGGCGGACGGCGGTGTGCGCGCCATGGTCGCGGGCACGGCGGTCGGCGAAGACACACGCGACGTGCGGCATGCTTTCATCGTGACGGGGGGCTCGGACAAGAAGTTGCGGTTCTGGGACCTCGCGCGCGTCGAGAACTCAACCGTCTACAGCGGGCTCACGGCCGAGGAGCAGAGACCCATGTTCACGGCGTCTCAGCCGACGGCGGCGCTGGCGGTCAAAACGGAGAGGATCCCGCGTGCGGCGCCCACGGCACCCAATGCCGGGGCCGGGCGTGAGAAGAACGGCGCGGGTGGCGTTGGCGGGCGCAGCGCGCGGTCGACGGTCGTTTCGGTACAGCAGCAGCAGCTCCTCAAGGCGCATCTCGACTCGATTACGGACGTGGCCGTGTTGGAGATGCCCTATTGCATGACGGTGTCTGCTGATCGGTCTGGTGTCGTGTTCATCTTCTCATAAGAGGGCGTTTTTTGCTGTTGGGCGCTTGGGACAGGGTAGAACATGGATAGATACCGCTACATGATTCTGGGCTTTTTGCAGGTGATGATCGAGTTATCAGTGTCCGTTGTCCTGTGATGTTGGTTTGAGGGTTGGTGACGACGACATGAACATTCGTACCAGGATCAGCAACAAGGCCTCGGGTTTGTGTTGAATGGATTTTGCTACTTGGTAGAAGCTCCTCTACCATGAGTGTCATTGATCAGAAAAAAATCATCAATGAGAGGAAATGCAGTTGTTGTTGTGAACATCCAGAGGCTTCACACAGTGCAGACAGTGCGGAGATATACACACAGCTCTTATCTTATCGTGCGGCCAAAATTTCGTCCCCGCGGCGCTTGCGCTTGCACTTGCACTCACTGACCCTGGCCTGTCCGCTCCGTACTCTGTACTCTGGGCGCCCACCACATTCCGCCTACCGCATACCGCATCTTCAGCCTCGTCCACCATGAGAAGCGCACTCGACGCTTAGCCCTGCCAATTCCTCCACCACGACCAACGACGTCGCCGCCACTATCCTCCCTCCCTCAGCGGCTTGAACACGAGCTAAGCGGAAGAAGCCATACGCAGAGCCTTCAGTCTCATTCACCTTCGCCACGAGGCACACGACACCACCACCACCACGGTAACCCCACCGACCGCCCACGATGCGGCTCACGGCGGAGCTCATCAAGGACTCTCTCTCCTACCTGAACCCGCTCAAGGAGCGCGAGCTCGATCTCCGAGGTGCGTTGCGACAAGAACAGATACTACACTTTTGATCTAGAGCCAGAATTGATAGCGAGGCCCCTTCGCCGGGCGCGTGCGAGACAGGACACCGAATCCCCGCCATTGAGAACCTGGGCGCTGCCGGCGTGAGTCTCTTCCCTTCCTTCTGCTCTGCCCCTGCGCCCTGCGCCCTTCTGGCAGGGTCTGAGATACGTTCCTCGTTGACAAGCACAAGACTGACAAGACAGCCCCACGACTCGATCGACCTCACCGACAACGACATCCAGACCCTCGGCAACTTCCCCCTGTCGCCGCGCATCACCACCCTGCTGCTCGCCCGCAACCGCGTCGCCTCCATACAGCCCGCCCTGCCCACCGCCATCCCGAACCTGCGCCACCTTGTGCTCGCCTCAAACCAGATCGCCGAGCTCGCCGACCTCGACGTCCTCGCCAAGTTTGCCCGCCTAACCCACCTCGTGCTGATCGAGAACCCCGTCACCAGGAAGGAGGTGCGTGCTCTCCTCCCCTTTCCGCACAATGTGGACGACGGAGCGAATGGAGGACCTTGGAAAAGCTGACCGCGTCGCAGAACTACCGCTACTGGGTGCTCTGGCGGTGTCCCGGCGTCCGCTTCCTCGACTACGTCAAGGTCAAGGACGCCGAGCGCCAGCAGGCCGTTGCCCTGTTCGGCACGGCCGACGAGCCGACGGCGCTCGCCTCCAAGGTGCGTCGCCTACCCTCCGCCTTCTCAACACGGCATGCTGACTGCGCAGATCATGGGCGTCAAGTCCAAGACGTTCGACACGGGCGCCGCGGGCGGCATCGCTGCTGCCGGCGACCAGGCGCAGGGCTCGCGCCTGTCGCGCATCAAGCTCACCGACAAGGAGAAGAAGCGTCTGCAGGAGATGATCAAGCGTGCCGACAGCCTGCAGGAGATCATTCGGCTCGAGAAGATGCTCAACGAGGGGACATTACCCCCTGGCGTGCACCTCGATGCTGATGTCATGGAGGAATAAACCTGCCCTTCTTTTTTGTGGCTTGAATCCCCTGGAAAATGGCAGTTGAGTCTCGACAGGACACAGACGCAAGGGAATATCCTGTGGCGAGGGAAATAGATGCCCGCCTAGAGGAGAAGTTGCCCCAATTTTTTTTTTTGTGTTCC